CAACCCAATCTTTCTGGTCGGGACGGATGAGCGTACGCAACATCATCTGAGCGGTCTGGTGYGCTCGCTCCGTCTGACCATCCGTCTGCGGGTGCCGAGCCGAGCTCGGCTTCATTGTCATGCCGGACTCAGTCATGAGAGAAGTCCAAAAGGCCGATATGAAGCGAGTATCTCGGTCGCTCACTATATCTTCCGGAACACCCTGGTTGGTAATCCAACCGGTGTGCAAGAGTCGTGTGAGCTCAGGTGCTGCAACATGATACTTGCAAGGAAGGAAGCGAGCATACTTGAGCTACTTGCTCAAACGGGTCTGTCACGTCCATAGCAATGGAGAGGCGTGGTGCCCGAGGGATCGACAACGGTTTCAGTTCGCCGAAGGGGACTCGAGATCGACCCTTGTTACGGTGGCAAACTGCACATGACTCAATGTACCTCGTGACGTCATGAAGGACGTCGGGCCAGTGAAAACGCTGGCGGAGGCGTGCTTGTGTGCGGTTCACGCCAAGGTGTGCCGAAAGTCGTGCGTCGTGGAATTCGCCGAGAAGACGAGTCCGTAAGATGCGATCTTAGGGCACAACTAACAAGTCCTTTCCTCTCGTGTGAAGGAGAAGGAACCCGTCGGAAATCCGATAGTGGCTAGCCGGCGGGTGATCCGATGAAAGCTCTGCGTAAAGCGTAGAGTAAGTCCGATCCGTCGGCGGGTGATCCGATGAAAGCTCTGCGTAAAGCGTAGAGTAAGTCGGATCGGACTTGTAGCCTTTGACGAAATGCTGCTGCAGATCGTCATCGGGGTCGAATGCCGTGGTCACAATTGCACAAAAGTCGGGCCGTCGTGAGAGGGCGTCCGCAGCTCGATTGGCGGGACCGGGAATGTGACACGGGTCAAAATCGAACTGGTAGATGTAATACATCCATCGACCGATCGTGCTAGTGACCGTGTCCTGTGTTTTATAAAAGGTCAACGGATTGTTGTCCGTATTCCATTTGAACCGCCGACGACCGAGAAGAAAGTGGCGCCACCGTTTGAGAACGGTGACGAACGCAAGTTGCTCTTTCTTCCTAGCGTCGTCTAGAGTGTTGACGAGAGGCACCTTTTGGGAGAAATACTCAACCGGATGTCAACCGTCCTCGTGACACTGTTCCAACACCACACCAATACTGTATCCTGAAGCATCCGTAGTCACTTGGGTGGGTAGGGTGGGGTCGTATATACGGAGGGCAGGTGCGGCTTGCATCGCTGCCTTCAACGTACTGAACGCGCCACGGGCTGCGTCGTCGAACTCGAAGGGCACCTTCGGGGACTGAAGTCTCGACAAAGGAGCGGCCACTTTCGAGTTTGACTCGACGAATCGATGATAATATCCAGCCAAACCCATGAAAGAGCGTACATCCGTAGTGCAACGGGGTTCCAGCCAATCCACGATGGCTTGGATCTTGTCCGCTAAGGGACGAATGCCTTTCGGCGTGACAAAATGGCCCAAGTACTCAAGCTCTTGCCTGGCGAATTCGCACTTGTCGAGATTCGCTTTGTACTTGGCTAGTCGCAAACGATTCAAAGCAACGTGAAGGTGTACGATATGCTCGTCCAACGTCCTACTATAAACCAAGATATCATCAAGGTAGATGAGGACGCTGCGATCAAGCAAGTCGCGAAACTCAGTCGTCATCGCTGCTTGAAACGTTGCGGGGGCATTGGTGAGTCCAAATGGCATGACGACCCACTCAAAATGCCCGTACCGCGTCTTAAACGCGGTCTTGTACCGGTCTTGAGGCTGGATTTCAATCTGGTGGTAACCTGACTTCAAATCCAACTTCGAGAAGTACGTCGCGCCGCCTAA